CCATCCTCAAGTGCTGCTGTGAATATTTTTAGGGAAATGGTATCTCCTTGTCTCACTCCTGGATTGGTTAAATCGAGAACTCGTACCTGCAGTGACTGAATGGTAGAGCTCCCGGAGCACATCCACGCAGCGTGCTGCCACATCGATTCGTTCGAGAGCGTGGAACACGGCCCAATATTCGATACTGTCGAAGGTCGAGCACGACCATATCTACATAAACTGCTTCGAGGCTATAGATAAGCATCATTTCGATATAAGACGTAATTTTGACCTTCCTCAGAGCTGCAATTTGTAGTATGGGGATTAGCTGTCCTATTGAGTTATTGGTCCATAGTAATATCTGGTAATAAATAATATATAAATATCAATATATCAGGAATGAAACTATACCTAATAGGTATGATAGGTCTTTATTAATAAAAACAGACAGTCTTAGAACAATTTAATAATATAAAAGTTGTTCCTATTTCTAAACCTATATAGTATATACACAGATGAATAAAGCGCGACAACTACTTCGTTCGAGTTAACTACACTTCGAATTGATTCTGGTAAACTTTTTTTTATACTTTCGACGTAGTATCTTTTTCATCATATCGTGGAAGAAACATGAATTGTGCGAGAACTTCGTTCGCAGTGTCGCCGCGCTTTAATTTGATCATACTCCATCAACATAAGTCCTCATGGAAGAATGGCATAGATACAGGAAAATATAACCCACGTCCTCTCCAATTCTTGTAATTCTATCGACTAATATTGTACATAGAATTAGAAGAATTGGAGAGGATATGGATTATATTATTCTGTATGTAATAAATAAACAAACATGTTTGACATAACTCCACTGATGCCATTTTCCATGAGAGGTGCGAAGTATTAAAATAAATTTGTCAAAAATTAACAAATAGATGACACCATGTTCTCTGTTAATTTGTCACTTCAAAAGATAATAATGAAAGAAAATCTGTTTAGTATGAAAGCTTATTTACACAGTAGGTACAGAAATTTCAATTTAAATGTTTTTCAATAATTAAGACTTGAGTCAAATTTGGATATTTTATTGATATTTGTTAATGGCTTGACAAAATCTTTAAATTTAGGTTTGAATTTACATTATCTACGTTTTGTTAATAGTGAAATTTTATTTAAATAGTGTATTTCACATTTCTTACAGTGCTGTATACCGCATTCGGTTTATTGATTTTATTTACGTATACGTTAGTTTTACTGTAAGTTCACGTTTTTTTTTTCTTAATCATAAACATTGTCTATTTTTACAAGTGGAATCGAGCATTTTTTTATTTCATAAATGTCATTACAAAATTCGCCGGTGTTACAGTGGTTTTCAATATGGATGTTAAAACATGCGTCATTAATTAGTAAATTACAAAAATTGCATTGTTTACCATCCGGATTATAGCCCTTGCAATCCAACAAATGTGCACTAGCTTCTTTTCCTTTCACAAAATGAAGTTTACAATTAGGACATCTATATAAAATATCGGTGAGGTTTGTCTTACAAGCCAAATCGATTATTTCGAATGTATATTTATGCCTTTTATCGCCGTGATGTATTAATAAATGACTGAATAGAACATTTGGCAAGAACAAGAGATCACATTTGGAGCATTTTTGTTTAGATGTTCTTATTTTTGGATTACAACATTTAATGTGGGCAGAAACACTTATGGCATCTAAGAAATTAAGACCACAGGTGCACCTATAAATTTTGGCAACCTTCAATATAACTTCATCGGGCTTGATAACATTGTTTTGAATTTTTAAAATCTTACTATCACTTTCACATGAATCAAATTGTTCGGTAAATTCATTATTTAGTACAGGGTCAAATGGAATCACTTTCACATTTTCAGGCTTAAAATCTGGATCATCATGCAATTTACGGTGACTTTTGAGTTTGGTATTAAGAAAATATAAGTCACAATCTGAACACTGTGTCTTATATATTCCAACTGAACAAACATGAGCTGAAAAGTTCTTTTTTTTCATACAAACTTGGCATTTACTACAACGGTAATATAAATAATCGTAGATAATACCACAATATGAGGATTTAATTTTATTTGCATTGCCTTCTGTGCCTCTAGTTTTATCTCCGAACATAATTACTTTCATATTGTTTGGAATAAAATTAGATAGCTGTTTGTGTCTTAAAATGTGGCTTTTAAATTCAGCACCATAAAGTAACAAACCACATTCTGAACACTTTTTCAAACTATAAACATCGCATTTGTGGTTCAATATTTGAGATTTAACTGTTGCACCATTACAATTTCTACATTGGTATAAAGTATACAGTGTTTGGTTATAAAGAAAGTTATTCAATTTCCGGTCTTCATTTTTATTAAAAACAACGATTCTGTAAGACTTTACAGTAATGTTTGCTGTTTCGTGGATCTTTTCATGTGCAATTTGTGTGTTTGACGAGTTGAAAGGCAGCCCACAAAAAGTACATGGATGATTCCTTAGTTTAAAACAGGAGTTCTCTGCGTGCTTGTATATGGTAGATTGATCAATAAAACATTGACATTTATCACATTGGAATACAGTTAGATCGGGTGGTCCTTCTTGGACTAATTGCATTTTGACTCTACATTCCGATCTGTATATAGATTTATTTACTATCTGGTCAATTAGCGATTGAGGCATAGATCCAAAGACGTGTTTGATCCAAGTACTATTATCAGAAGTAAAATAATACGTATCAAAATTAAGAAGTTTAAAAAATGTTCTATCTTGATGTAATTTTTCATGGCTTTCATAACAAGATTTATCAAATTTCAAATCACATTCGGGACAATATGAGTATTCTGTGTTAATCGTAATTTCTTTACCTTCGTAATAAATCTGGCAATGTTCTACCACTTTGTCATAAGTATCGACCGTGATGCCACAAGTTGCACATGAATATATTATTATCGGAACTAATTCTACATTAGACTTTTTAAGTTGCATTTTCGTTGCTGTACTGCAGCTGCTTTGCACGGATTTTACCATAGATGAATTAGGTGATTTTGAAACGTTAACATCAGTATTGCAATTTATTTTCGATGATTTCCTCAGGTTGCAATGAGTTTCACTAGAAGTCTTAGAACCAGATTCAAATGAACTCGAAGAAGATGGAACTCGTGAATATGTCGCTAAATTCGAGTCTGATTTGTTTTGCACGTTCGAAAGCTTACATACGCCCATGGTAAAATTTCTCTGGTCTTTTAAACAAGGTGAATTAATTGAAGATTTTTCTTTAACACATAAATCACTCTTTTGTCCATCATCTTTAACAATGTTGGTTATTGAATAATAGTGAAAAGACATGTGTAATTTAAAAGCATCATCGGAAAGTTTGTCCTCACAAATGTGACACGTCAAAAAATTTTCCTCACTGCAGTCATGAGTCAATAACACAAATTCTGAAATAAATATGACTTTGCAATAGTTACATTTCAAATATTCAGGCACTGGAGGACAAATTTGTTTCTTGGTTTTCACTTCACAGAACGTAAAATCTTGCACTTTTAAAAATCCTAATTTACAATGTAAATCTTTATGCATTGAGTAGTTTCTGTTTGTAAACACGAGTCCACAAATTTTACAAATATTTTTTTCTAACTTTACGCATTGTGCTCTCACATGAATGTCGTAATCTTGTTTGTTTAGAAAGCTATTGCATGTATCACAGCAGAATAAGTTAAACATATTATGAACCATATCATGTTTTTTTTTCGTCGTAGATGTTTCAGCCTTCTCAATACTTTTTCTCTTTGGGGCGTAAGAACTTTCACGCTCGATTGATATAACGTCTGTATCAATTGTAACAAAGTTCAAGGGTTCTTTTTGATTGTGCATCATTGCATGCGACTTAAAGGTGCTCTCATCAATTAAAATATCACAATATTTGCAGTAGGTTGCGATAGGCGTTTCAATCCCACAAATTCGGTAGTGATTCAAGAATTGTTCCTCTGCAAAGTGTATAGCACATTTCGAACAATTGAACAAAACCCTGGAAAGTGCAGATGGACTTAAATCATGTACGATAAATGTATTGGAAAATGTATGTTGATTCTCATGTAAAAGTTCATCATTCTTCTTAAAAATACGATTACACTTGCTGCATTTCCAGTTGATCAGCAATTCCATGTGCTCAGCATGACGTTGAGCGGTATTTGCAGACAAAAAGTGTATATCACATTGCGTGCATTTAAATAAAGTGGATTTTAAGGCAAATGAAACAAATCCAGATTCATTATTTGTTGCTTGCTCATTTTCTGAAATTTGTTTAGCATTGAGTAACTTCTCAGTGTACTTTATTCCATGCATATCAATTATATGATTGTTATACTCTTTAATATTTGCCATTTTTTCCAAACAGAATACACAATTGGGAACAAATGGCTTTTTTTTAAATTCTTCACCTATCACTGCATGTTTCATTATCAAATGCCTAGAGCATAACTTTGAGCTATTAAAATAAAAAGAACACACATCGCATTTGAAATACATACTTGTATCAAGTTTATATTTAGAAGGATTCAAATTATTTAAGATATTTGGTTTTTTTGTTTTAGTATTTACGCTTTGTTTGGCATTAGCATTTTTAATGTGATTAAAGTTTTTTGTAGCATTTCTATTAACGCTTTTGTGTCTGGAATTTACGATTCCTCTTTTAATCAAACTTTCATGATCTGGGTTTTTTCTTTTGCACATTTCACTATTAATGTTTTTTACGTGCATTATAGTATAGAGATGCTCTATCACAGCTTTCTGTGTAGCAAAGAGCATTTCGCAATGAAAACAAGTGTAGGTTTCACTAGTCTCAGTCTCTGTACCTTGGACAAGTACACCACCCACATTGTTTAAATTTCCCTTACTTTTATTTCTGGTAAACCATTTTTTCACTTTTTCTTTATCTTTCGACGCATTTGCATATTTCAATGTTCTCACCTGTTCTCCAAATTTATTTTTTAAATGAATATTCTTACTGTTCCTTTTCTGTAATAAAGCTTTTTCCTTGTGTGAATTGTGTGTTTTCTTTAATTTTATTTGTGTATTAATTTTGATTTGATGAACATGTGTTAAATGACATTGCATATCACTGTAATTGAATTTTTTACTACATATGTAGCATTTACTTTGATAACACGCTTTAGTGTGGACTAATTTTCTGTGAGATACAAATGTGATTTTATTAGGAAACAATATTAAACATTGATGACAATATCGGCCACTGTTTTCTAAATATGAATAGATATTGTGTAATAACACTTTCGCTTCAACTAGGGACAATAGTTCTTGATTAAAAACACCCTTGGTTGGATTTGTCCCTACTATTATCTTGTTGTTATGAAACTTTTCAATGTGATCAGGTGCAGCAGTGAAATCAACTGTCACTTCTCCCTTTATCTCTACAGAGTCCACACCATCTTGAAATGGGTCAAGTGACCTTGCTGGTACTTCTGAGGTCCGTGTTGTACTGTCAATGGTAGGATCTTGAGGACAAGTACTACAGACTTGTGTGTCAACATTAATAGTTGAATTGGCTGTCCCTAAAATCAAAATAACAAATTCTTGAACTGAATAGGTGACGATGATGCGACACTAATAAACCAGGCGGAATGTTCATTCGCTATAGAAGCGCAGAAATCTTTCCTTTTTTTTCACAGTTCTGCACATTTGCGCGCGTAAATTTTACAATTGAATATTCTCCCCATAGACTTAACATGGTGACCTTTGACCATAATTATCTCAGATTACAGACTGAAAATAAAAATTTAGGCTTTTTCACAACAATTGTGTTTTTTGTGCTAGTTTCAAATTTCATGCACATTGACTGAGGAACAACCAAGTGATTCCAGTCATAGATTATGCAATTAAAGTAGTAGGAAGGAAACTTTGCTTGCTGCATTTGAATATGAGTCACTACATTAGTTATGGTAGCAAATCCCACATTTAGAATCATTACACTAAATGCACCACAAATACACCTAGAATTAGAAAGTATTGTGAAAGTTTTAACTAAAAAAATAAATAAATTTAGATTTGACTTACCTGCATTATAATAACATTCGATTTCTTTTTTAATGACAGATATGTCAGGAAATATTGACTTTATTAAAGGGTTATCTAGTAAATCATGTTCTTCAATATCAATGTCTTCATCCATCGTGTCAACTGCAACTAAGATCATATAATTAATGGAATATTAAAATAAGTGTAAGTGGTGTTATTCCATAAATCATTTAGTTATCAAAAAGCACTTCATATTATGATTATCAATATTCGAAAAAAGGGGTTACACATATATAGACACATGTGTAGATATAGCTACAGTTAGTTGTCCTTAGGGAATGGCGCGCTGACAGCTTACTTGCTGTACCGTCTATATGGTGTGGTATCTGAAGCTAGGTAAGGGCGGAGACTGACCATTCTCGTTACTTTTTTATTTTCTGCTTTGGTAAAAGGTCAGTTATCTATTGCATTCTTTTACATGGCACCGTTAGAATTACTTTAGAATCCAACTTCGACTTCCAAGGTCAGTAGTTTTGTCCTATAATGCAGTAAAACCATTTCTGGAATTCTATTTTGAAAAAGTAATTAATTAATATTTGGTGGTTTTAACAACTTTATGTCGCTCCTTGTAGTTATATTTAGACATGTATCTATATATGTGGAACACCTTTTTCCGACCATTGATGATTATGGCTGAGATTTGTAACACAAACTTTAATTTTGCTAAGTAAAAAAAGGCTAATACTACTCCTATAACCTTAGGTTCATTTTGTAATTACAAGAAACTTGCTAATCCCATCAACCATTTTTGCTTAGCCAAAGATAAGGTTTTTTTATAAACCAGAGTAGGAACTGAATGACATGACATTACTTGGTACTTGGTACTTGGTGCAACGGGCTGGTATCCGCAACACGACGACAAAGCGCCTATTTTGCGTGTGGGACATGACATTATATCACTTTACAAATAATTGACCTAACCCCTAATACACAGGTTACCACCTAGCTCAGGGATGGAAGTATCGCCTCCACCTTAGACACTTGTACAAAACCTGTTTAGTTGTAATCTATGCCATGTGACATGTTTCTATTTTTTATGTACAATAAATAAATTATTATTACAGTATTTTATTGTCTCTATGGTACTGTCACAGTACATCAAGGTATTTTGGACTGTTATTATCTCTAATGACAAAGAGTAGAATGTATTTTAACTTCTTTTTTATTTATTTTACATTATTCTACACAAAACGGTATAAATGGATACCATTAGGCATTCTGAATTAAATTGTAAGTGTGATTTTGTACTCTTCACCCTGTATTAAGATACAATTTTGAGGGCCTCCATGATCAAAAAGGTTGCACACTGGTTTTCATGATGTCACCATCTCTGAGATCCCGGATTCGATCCCTAGCTGGGTCAGTGTAGAAACAAACTTTTCTATATTGTCTCGGGTGTAGGTGTTTGTGGTACCGTCATTGTTTCCGATTTCCATAACACAAGTGCTTTAGCTACTTACTTTGGGATCAGAGCAATGTATGTGAAGTTGTCTAATATAATATATAATTAAAATTTTCTTATACTGGGTTATTTGTAAAATACTAACAACCTCGTAGGACTATATTACTAACTACTAACATTATAAACAAAAACTTTTGCTCCATGACTTTTTAGAAAACAATGAATTTATCAAAAATAAACTTTTGAGGTTTTGTACTATCTGAAACTGTTTAGAAGTGTATTTGGTATAACTAGTCTAACAACTCCTCCCACATGCTTTATTTTGTTACTGCACAGAGATATCACCATTTAGACTTTTAGGGAGACCTATTAAAATATTGTTACTTTGTACATTTTTATTAAGTCATAGAACAAAAGTGGTCATTTATTATGTTAATATCGTTCTGCAAGGTTGTAAGTAGTTTACAAATATCCCTGTATAATTTTAGTAGAGGTCTAGATTATATCTATATATTAAAAGCATGACATGAAACAAAAATTATGCGAAACTGTCCCCTGCGAAGCCCGACAGGCAAGTAGGCATTACACCAAGGAAACGAACCTAGTTCACCAAGTACTGTGCCATGGAAGAAGGTCAACGAAAAAGGAAAGTTTACGTTTTTATGGAACACCTATAGCTATGAAAGAATTTATGTATTAACTGATTTTAAGTGATAAAAATGAACATTTACCTTGCCACTACTTTTACCTTGACTAATTATTTAACAATTTTTAGATAAACATACAAGCGGACCACCGTTTTTAGCACATAACATACTTCACTTCATAATTCGTAAAGAGAATATGAGAGCACAGCACAACCACAACACAAAAATAGGTTTTAAAATAAGATAATATTAAAATATGTGAAGAGTAGGCCCTCGCCAGCACAAATTACTCAAATTAGTTACGTAGTATCTCTTATTAGTTTGTGAATTAGTTAGAAATATATTTTTACTTTGTGTTAGAAACAGCGTTGCCAATGCCAATTGTTCAAAATCCCCAAAAATCACTGTTAATATCCCCAAATTCAAGGAGAACAAAGTTCATATTCCCCACTAATTCCCCACATCTCTAGTTTTCATTATTTATTACAAATACATAGCTTAAAAATAATTATAATAAAGAATTAAGAAACTCAAAATGTAACCATCTATTGCGTTTGCTGTGCATGTAAACAGAATGTAAAATGTAAAGCTAAATCGTTTATTTATTTTAATGAGATTCAACATTAATAAAACTTTGAAAAAAAAATCATTTTTCTCTGCCTTATCAAATTAAGTAACTTAATTATTTTGTAATGCATTTGATGACACTATGGTTAATGTTTGAAAAAGTCAATGAGTAAAATAAGTTTCAACCTATATTTAATATTTAAAGTTGACAAGGGCCTAGTGGCAAGTTGTGGTGTGAAGTACCAACTGCTCGGTTTTGTTTATCAATAGTTGATTTCGTTTTTCTTCAAATTAAACATAACATTTTATTGCAGTGTATATCAAACATCTAAATACATAGGTATCTAATATTTCTGGCAAACAACAAACGTATGACCACAAATGTATGAGAAAAAACATACCTATTTCACTGAAAGGTACTCAGTCTATCGGAACGAAACACTATTTTATATGACATAATGGTCTAATTGTACAATTTGTCGAAAACAATAAGATCAACAAAAAAAAATTAAATTGCATACAAACATTGCAACAAATTTTAGTGCTTGAAAAATCGTAGTATATATTTTTTGTATTTGCAAGTAAAAGTTCAATTTAGTTCCAATATTATGAATTTCTTTCAAGAAAATCAGCTCCAAATATAATATTTGTTGTACGTGATTCATTGTATAAATGAAAATAGTTTATCGAGCAACTTTTGAAAAAAATTACGGTAATTTTGCTAAAGGAATTCATTTAGAGTTAATTTCAATTGATGTGCAATCAGTTTTTTTTTTAAGTAAACCATATTTTTGTAAATAAATGAACATTTTCGTTGTGCACTGAGAAATTAGCAGAGGTCTAGTTTTGATATATGTTTTTAAATTATTTTTGCTACTAGTTTTGTTACACAGTTGTTCCATTTGTAGTGAAATATTTTTTTAGATGTGCAAGTTATTTGAATAATGAACATAATTTTATATGTATTGATTTTTCTGATATGCACTTAAATATTTCCCATTTTACAATTCAGAACCAACACGACCTAATTCTATTTAAGCTGCTTGTTAATAATGCGAGGAATGTGCGATGTTGAAAAACACATCGATATAGTTCACCACAGTGTTTTTAACAATAACGATCAAACTAGCGATGCATCGTTAGACGCAAGCAATCGATCATCATCATCATCATCAGCCTATTGCAGTCCACTGCTGGACATAGGCCTCCCCTAATGCACGCCATTTCGCCCTGTTCTCGGCTTGACGCATCCATTTCCTGCCAGCAATCTTCCGCAGATCGTCACTCCATCTGGCTGGAGGGCGTCCCACACTACGTTTGCCAGGTCGTGGTCTCCACTCAAGAACTCGTTTACCCCAGCGGTTGTCGGTTCTTCGGCAGATATGTCCAGCCCACTGCCACTTCAGCTTGCTTATCCGAAGAGCTATGTCGATCACTTTGGTTCTCTGTCTGATAACCTCATTACGGAGTTTATCTTTCAGAGAAACTCCGAGCATAGCTCGTTCCATAGCTCGCTGAGCGACTTTAAACTGGTGGACTAGCCGTATCGTGAGTGTCCACGACTCAGCTCCGTACGTTAGAACTGGTAGGACGCACTGGTTGAAAACCTTTGTTTTCAAGCTCTGCGGGATGGGCGACGAAAAGGCTCGACGTAGCTTCCCAAACGCTGCCCAGCCAAGCTGAATCCTCCTCCTGGCCTCCTTCTCGAAGTTATTTCTACCTAACTGCAGAATCTGCCCGAGGTAAGTGTATTCGGAAACAACTTCAAGAAGGTGGCCATTGACGCAGATGGGTCTCGGATCAATGTGGTCATTGATCATGACTTTGGTTTTATCAAAGTTCATGCCGAGACCAATCCGCCGCGAGGCGGATGCTAGGCTGTTCAGCATCTGATCCAGTTCCTCCAGCGATTCTGCCATTAGGACTATGTCATCTGCAAATCGCAAGTGTGAGATGTACTCGCCGTTTATGTTAATGCCCATCCTTTTCCAGTCCAGCGTCTTAAACATATCCTCCAATGCAGCGGTGAACAGTTTCGGGGATATGACATCCCCCTGTCTCACCCCTCTGCGTAATTGAATAGGTTCAGACTGCTGGTCCAAGCAATCGATAGATTAAACAAAATCATAAAATGTTAGAATCCCCACATTTTCCCCACATATCACCAATCCCCACAGAATCCCCAATCTAGTTGAAATTCCCGCAATTTGGGGAATTCGTCACAAATTGGCAATCCTGGTTAGAAACTCGCCAACAGTGTTGCCAGATTTTTGCGAACTTAATTCGCCAATTTGTACGTGTTAAGTAGCCTAAAAAATATAAATCGCTAAAAATCAAGTAAAACAATTCTGCAATATTCTGCTTGATGCCGGATATTGGGAAATTTGAACTGTCTTATTTCCCCAATTCCCCACACAAAGAAATACTCAAACCCCCAAATGTGTTATTTTACAACTCCATTCCCCTCAAAATCACTAATAAAATTTGTTATTCCCCAGACTTTTTGTTAAGTAGCCTAAAATTGCCTTTTCCTATTTCAAACATTGCCTAAATATCGCCGAATCGCCGATCACTTGCCGCACGACCCCTCGAAGTAGCCTAAATGGAGAAAAATCTTCTAACCTGGCACCACTGTGTCTATGGCCGGTGTGTTGGAAAAAATACTTAGAGGATGGAAAAAAACTAAATACCGATTCGATAATAAGTAATAAAAAAAAATATATAATATAAATAATAAAAATTGACACCAAAATTAAGTACAAATAACTTACCTGAAAATGACTGTTCTACGCACAGACTTATAAATGGAAGGTTCTACGTTTACAAAAATATCTTTTGATGTTTTATTTAGCGTGAATTATAAAATAAACTTGTATGTACTATCTAAAAGCCATCCAGTATATACACACTTATCTATGAAGCCATCTACAAAAAAATGAGTTTTAAAAAGATTTCAAACCAGCGAAAAATAACTTTTTGGCTGATGGATTCTTTAAAGAGTTTTTCGTTCAGTAACATCAATTTGAAAGGCGTCAACGTCAAATGTGGAAAATTAAAGAAGAAATATTGAAAAATTTTCGGAAAAATATTTATTTTTCTGCAAATATGATTTCTTCAAAATGGAAATTTTTGCTTATCAACACTAGTTTTGATTCTAATAAAATATAATTGCAGTTGAAGAAATTGACTAAAGCTGACAACCCTTAACCCCCCCTTCGCTCCACCTCACCGCACAGCTGATCAAATGTCAAGAAAATGGAGTTTTGTTACGCATTTATAATTTCAGATTAGGAAAAGTTACAATATGAAATCCAATAACATTTCGTATACAAGCTGCCTGGGTTAGAATGGATAGTACTGCTCCATTTCAACCTTGGACCGCTGATGATAGTGCTAAAAATGTGAAAACCGAGAGAGAACTAGCGGATGACGCGAAACTTCATAGAGAAAATGTCAATCCAAAACATACGCAATCTGCGTCTTACGATAAAGATAGTGTCGTCGCTCCCAGCATCGTTCCAGGGTCGTCGGGAGACTCGGGGCCCGGCGCGGAGCCCACGCGCCCCAAAGACTCCAAAATGGATTCAGCCAAAGTCGCGTCTATGCAACAAATTGTCGAAAACACCCTAAGGTAACGAAGCTCTCTACACACTGTTTTTAATTTTGCCTTCAATTACTTAGTGCCTACCTTTCACAAATCGTAATACGATTACAATATAAATTTATTGTAGAAGCAATTAGTACCTAAACAATGTCTATTAAGGAAAAGTAGGTACATACCCAGAGCTACTCAACTGTGCTCGTTTAAACGCGTCTATTGAATAAATTGTTTATAGAATAGAAAAACACAAGACTAAAGTTACTGCTCAGTGTTTTTTATTTTTCATCTACTATATAACACTTAAACACCTGTTCATAATTTAATGAACTAGGTACCTATTCTTATGTCACCTAATGTTTATTTCCTTGTGGGTGGTGGTGGTATCATGTCCTAGAATATATTATGCATTGCACTGAATTATATAGTGCTTTGATGTGTGTAAACTCATATAAACTGTGAAATTAAAATATTAGGTACACTGTTATTTTTTTCTATAAATACTAGTTTGTCTTGACATGTTTCTCTAATGTCTCAAATTATCTGCAAAATAATCGTGTTTTCCACTATATACGCATCTGTTTAAACAAAAGAAGTTGCATAGTGGAAAAGCGCATATCAATGCCTTACTTTCACAAACTCGTGTCTTATCAAGGGTGCTATTTTGGATGCATTACTTTAAGAATAGGTAAAAGCCAGTGTGTGAATATGAAGGAAATGTATGTGATTTTGTTTGATGTATGTGATTGTGATTTATATATACAATCCATTTTTTGCATTTCAGTAACTTTGTGCTTTAAGATAAGAGTTTGAGAAGGTAAGGTGACAATATGCTAAAGAATTTTCTTCTATAGACACATTTATTGAAGCTACTAGCTCAACTGATATTTTTAAATTGTTGTCATATTTTAGAAACTGTTATGGGCATAGGTACAATAGTTGTATTGCGATTGGGGGAATAATAATTAAACTCATACAAGGCAAACATGCTAACAAGTATTCATTTTTGTACATGAGGAGGGTTAGAACAAAAATTATGTTAGCAATTTGACACATTTTGACCTATTCTTCTTATTTAATGTCAATTGGTAGTTTTTGTTCATTTCTATGAATAATTTGTCTAACCTAAACGTCAACCACTAAACCCATTTTAGAAATGTGTTTCAAATACACAGATTTGAATACAATGCGACAAATCCTTTCAATGAGACTGGATGAATTAGAATAAAACACCACATTTATCAGTTTTTGTTCTGAAGCACCTGATGCATAAGATATGAGAATATGACAACAATTACCTAGTTTGGAAAAAAAATCGATGTGTGGTCTCATGCCTAGCTCTTAAAAATTTTCTTAACAAGCTTTAAATTTCGAGTTCTTAGGTTATCGCGATTGTTACACATAGAAAATGAAACTATTTTTCCAGATTTAAATTGCGTATATTTGTTTTTCAAACAAGTCTGCAGTTTGTGAGCATATCATGGATAAACCTACACATTCAATGAAGTTTAACAAACCCCAGATCCTTGCCAAAAGAAGTCTGTTATCTACCTGCGATGATGCTGCTAGAGGCCATTGAAATTAAAACCATGTCAGCCAACCGTGGTGACCATGGGACCTGTAAAGGGCCCAAAACGTTGGTTTGTTTGAAAAAACAAATATACACGATTTAAATCCGAAAAAATAGTTTTATTTCCTGAGCTTTAAATTTTCTCCTTGCTTATATTTCATTCATACTTATTTTCATGTTCTTAACAATAAGTTTAATATTATTCGTTGACTTGCTACATTATGTCAAAGACCCATGTGAGTGTGTTATCTTTTCTAGCAGATAGATAGATGTGATTAAGTCAACATGTAAATTTTGCTTTAGTTTTATCGACCAAGAGCTTCTTGTACTGTTTAGGCAGAGCTACTAGTGTTGTAATGTTTAATATCATGTCTAGATATTAGAAATTTGTATAGCATCATGAATAGTGGTCAGATATTTGAATGCTTTTATACCTAAAGTTCACTTTTTCCTATGAATTGCTATTGTATAACATACATATATTTTTTCTTTTTTGAAATCCAGACGTGCCTTAATGATGATGCAATTTTTTATATTTTAAATATGTAATATTTTGGCTCACTATAAATTTTAAAGGTGTGAGATGACCAAGAAATTGCAACTGTATGTCAGTACTGTGAACAGTTAGAAGTGTCAAATTGGAACTTAAATGAAGTTGCGCTGGTTTTGGTGAAAATTTTCTAAAACCACAATTTTTGTCTTAATGTCTAAAGTTGTTACATTTTTCACTTCTCATATATGATACAATTTAATTTTAATGTCAAATAAAATTACATATAGCGTTTAAAATGTTAATTTTCCTTCTATTTTATACTTAATAATTTCGTCAATCCTGGTATCGCGGGAGTTTTAAGATACAAAAGCGCATTCCATGTTAATACGCAACCCAATTGTATAATAGACAAATAAGTATCCGGTTATCTGACCACTAATCAGAAGTGTGTTTTGCAGCCAAGAAGGCAGACAAAGAGTGGCACAGTTGTTAGAAGCGGTGGAAGCACTGACTGGTGCAGAAAGGCTGCTACTCTATCTTCGGTTGCCGACTGGAGTGCCTCCGCATGACCCTTTGAAACAGCCTGTCAATCCTTTAGGCTCCCGGTATGTATATAGCGTGCTTAAAACCGTCAATACAAATCAAATTATTGTTAAGCACTTCCACTGACAAAAATAATGGGATGTTGCAAATAAAGGAAGTTATTGGGTATATTGTACGGCAAAAATAGACATTAAATCAAATTAATGATGAAATTTCTTCGTACACACTTAAATATAGGGCACCATAACTAAAATAACAGGTTTATATGCACAACAAAACAAAATTTATATGTTACAAAAACAATACCAGTAACATTAAGATATTATAAACTAGGTATGTATATAAATGCTTACATAAACACATATTTCGTAATAAAATGCGTAAGATATGGATGGAATAATGGATATATAATGCTCCTTAACTTTCTTTTTGAAAATAGTATATAATTATGTTCTAATAAGGCTATAGCCTACAGCTTCTTTTATTGTTTCACTGGCAAGTTATGTTTTGTTGGCCCAGTGCTACACCGCCCTAACAGTATTATGTTACAACTACCCTAGCAGTATTATACATATATATACAGGGTGTCCCACTTTTCCTGTATGCTTGGTTGTCTAACCCAATGTATTATTTACTATATGTATAGGTAGATGTAATTGAAACAAAGTTTTCCTAAACAGAGTAGTTTTTGCCGATCCTCCTCGTGAAAAGGGTCTCCCTCTTTCACTCTATCCTCTGTATTATATATACAGGGTGTCCCAAAACTCAACGTCAAGCGGTCACTGGGCGAGAGGCCAGGTTATATCAGTTCTGGTAAAAATTAAAAAAAATCCATGTCACTTAGTTAAGTGATAATAGGCATTTTTTTGAAAATGTTGAAAATCGATACCCTAGACCACATGTTTAGGTACTGTCATCACAAATTTTCAAATTTTGGAGTGATTTTTTTTAACGTCATCATAAATAACCATGCTATTTATTGCAGTCACAAATCAAACAATAACCGTTATGAGTTTAGTAAAAAAAAATAAGTTTCATTGAGTCGTAGCTTAAAAAAAATATGTCAGCTAGCTTTGACACTTCATATTTTAAAAAAATGTACTACACTACCCTGGGCAAGTTATTTTAAAAGATGGCCCATATAATCAAGATTTCAAAATGGTTCAATACTTGCCACTCTTCATTCCATAAAAAATATTATAACTTATTTTTTGCAAAAGGAGCTCGTTTCAAAAAAAAACTCATGCCATGCTAAATAATACTTTTGTGTGCTCAAAGATTGGCTTTAACATCGCGGAAGTGAGATGGTCATATGTGATAGAGTGAGATGGATAGTGACGCTGTGCGACATGAATTAGAGTGAGCGAGACGGATAGTGACGCCGATGCTCTATTATTGATCAATGGTTATTATCATTTAGTACGTTACGTTGCTTCGTTTACTGTGCATCTTCACGTAATCGTGTAACTTTTGTACTGACGACTTTGGCTTGTGTTACCCTGGACTTG